CCCCCCCCCAATGCTTTTATGGTTAGCAATTCAACCCAGAGCAGGATTTGGCTTGTTGTGTTTTCTCATCTTGAGCTTTAGCATTTGGTCATTGTCCTTATTTATCTTCTTGTCGTACCTGACACCATACCTGACTTGCCTATTTATTTATTTGCTAGGGTTGCCACCCATCCCTCAAAATTCAAGTTTTTGGGCAATTGTATGTTGCATGATACATTGGCTAAAAACAAACAGAATGATCAGATTTGTATTTGCGGTAAAAAATAGATGAGACAAAAATTTAGACTATTTCGTGTGGAAAATCTAACAAAACATGTACATGACGCATCCCTATGATCTAAAGTTGATAAGATTTTTGTTTTTGTTTGAAGGAAGTTGTATAAGATCTTCAGATTAGTTGTAAAACCGACCATTACAGAAGATCTTGAAAACATTAAAAAAAAAAATTCTATTCACAATTTATAACTCCTTAACTGAATGAGCTACACCATTTTTTCCTTCCCTCTGGGATAAGGCATTTAAATCAAATTGAATTCAGCCAAACTCATTTTGTCCTCATAAACGGCAGGTCATCCTTTGCTACTAAGTCACTTTAATTGGCCCTCGTCTTCCTTTCCATCCTGATGTAGAATATCTTCAGCGCCGAGTGGCTTAAGAAGCCGGCTGTTTTAATGAGAACAGGAAAACAAAACGAGAGCTGGCTCATTTGAGTGCCGCTTTGATGCCGTCAGACCTCCCACTCGGTGTCTGTTCTTTCATATCTCGCTGTTCCGCCCGTTTTGTCCACAGCTCGACAGCTCACCGTGCAGATGATGCAGAACCCACAGATCCTGGCCGCTCTGCAGGAGAGGCTGGACGGTCTGAACGGCTCACCGTCGGGGTACATGGAGAGGTGAGACCCCCCCCCCCTCCTCCAATGTGCAGCTTCAGTGGACGGGAGCGCCTCTCAACATTTATTACTTAATGAGTTGATTAGATTAAATTCAAAGTATCTAATTAATCGTCAGTGAAAGGACTTGTTGGGAGCATCTGTATGCGAGTGTCTGAGCCGCCCAGGGGAAGGAGCTGTGCCCTTGGCTGCTTGTCTCCTTAGTGAAGCCATCTGCAAGCAGCTCTTTGATCAGCGCGTCGAGTGCTTGGCAGTCACCGGTAGCCTCGCCACTCACGTCCCCGGCGCCCGGCACCAAGCAGGCGCTTTTAATGCGTCGCACTGCAGGGCAACTCAACTCTGGTTGTAGTTCTCAAATCCTGTCGCTCAGGATCTGTGGTCATTTTAAATTGGATGAGCTTTAGCTGGAGAGGCTGGTGAACATGGGTTTGAAAAAAAGATGTGGTCCACTCGGACCACCCTAAGAGAAAGGCTGCCTGCTTCAGGCCCATCCCTGATTGGACAAAAGCAGTGACGTCGCTGTTTTTTAAAAAGTTGCCCGACATACCATTAGACTTTGATACACGGGGGGCTCAGTTTCTTTGACAGTTCTGATCATATGCTCGCCTGTCCCCTAATAAGGGGTTAATACTATTTTACAAAAATGACAGGTTGGTGAGAGAAGTGGTTAATCAACCTAAATTAGCTTATTTTATACCTGCTAAATAACAGCCAGAGATCATAAAACACAGGCATGCCTACTCGGTCATGTTATTTTCAGTCCTTTTTTTTTTTAAGCTTTTTTTTATTAGGAACATTATTATTTTTTTAATCTGGGAGTTGGAAACAGGAAAAACTGGGTTGAGTATATCATTCTGCAGAGAAGTAGCTGTAACAGAATGTCCTGATGACACCTCTGTGGAGATGCTGCATCATCCGCACAAAGAACAAGGCTAGAGAGGGTATGCCCCAGTAAATCTGTGTGCAAATACAGCAGCGTCTTCGCTTGGATATTAAATGAATCATTCGTTTATTTTGTATAGTCTGATGTTTATCTGCTGAATTGGAGACCACCCTTACTCATCAAGCGTCTCGGGGAGATGCCGTCGCCCTCTTAAAGCCTCCAGCAGCTTAACGCTTTGGCTTGGTCTCCTTTGACCCAGTTAGCTCTCGGCTCAGCACGGTTTTTATTTTTGCAGGGGTTCAAATTTGGCGTGTACAAGAGTATAAATTGTTCTTTGTGTTGCATATTTGTTCGGGACAGGGCCATGCCTATAGAAGGAATTCTCTGAGTTTCTCACACGTCGTCTGTGCCGGTCTTGTGTCCCACAGCCTACCGAAGGTTGTGAAGAGGCGCGTAAACGCCCTGAAGAACCTGCAGGTCAAATGTGCCCACATCGAAGCCAAGTTCTACGAAGAGGTGCACGCACTGGAGAGAAAGTACGCAGCCCTCTACCAGCCCCTCTTCGACAAAGTATGTATCCCTTTCAGATCCGTTTTAAAATATATTTTTTTAAATGTTAAATGCGCTTCTGTTTTTTGGGGTGAATGCGCATTTGTATTTCATTTTTGAAGGATAAAGAGGGGCGTTCACTCATGTCAGCAGTATTGGCTTAATTCCTCCATTTTTAAAAATAGCTTTCTTTATCATCTGGGTCCAGATTTTAATATACATTATATTGAATCACTTCTTTAAGGATGTTGAGGATTAATTGGAGATGGAACCTAAAGCAAACTGTTTCATAAACAGCTGGAGGGAAGGCAGCAACTTGAGCGGAATAACGCTGGCGCTGTGTACAGCCGACAACCGGAAGAATGAATTGTGTAAAAATGGCAGTGTCAGGATTTTGGCTTTGGTGAAGAGTCTTCACTGACTAATTGGATATCAAAATAAATATTTTATGATTCTATAGTGCTTTTAAATGATTCCTGTAACCATCAATAAAACACAATGCTGGTTATTGGTTGTTCTTAACAATTTAATCAGACCACCAGAAGAGGTAATCTAAGTGCCACAGCTGAATAAAATTGGGAGCATTAATACTCGCCAAAATATGCATCTTTTAAAATTTCTATAAGGGTTATTAAGACGCCAGGCGTTGACATTTTTTCATCTATTGAACAGCATTGCTAGAGCAATGTCGAGTGTTTTGCACAAAATGGTAGAAATCATTATTACATCCTCATCAAGATGTAAAATTCCATTTAAATGCTTGCATTCAGAAAACGGTTTTTGTGGATCAGCTGAAATTTTTAGTATAAAATGGAGAAGTTTGGTTTGAATTCCTAATGAATTCAAAACCTGTTAAAAAAAAAAAATAAAGAAAGAAAGGAAAGAAGTTGTCTCGGGGTGGTTTGGAGTCTGTTAAAGAGAACCGTGTTTTTGAAAACGTGCCAGGAAGGAGATGAGAAACTAAAGTGTACTGAAGCAGATGACGGACATGACGTACAAAAGACCAGAGATGGAAGGAAGCCTGCTCCTGACCATGCAGAGAAGATGCTTTTTCAAATCTGAGTTCATTTTGAACTTGATGACAAAAGACTCTGTTAGAGACGATAAACAACCAGTGAGAACGGACCCGGCATCACACTAAAGGAGGTCAAGTTTCCAGGTTGCTGTGTGTAGTAACGACACACCATAATTGTAATGTTTGGGAAATAATGCGACGGAGCAGCTGGACCGCACTTTTCCGCACATGACTGATGGTGACCCTCTGTCTGGATGACTTCATGGTCAAAGAATTTAGTTATGGTTTAATCTTGTTTCATACGACCCACCCCTACTCCTAAAAGGTTGTTTTGCATGTTTGCACCAACTGCCGTCTCCTTGTGTTCCATTTCTTTGCAGAGAAGTGACATAGTGAAAGCAGCTTATGAGCCTACAGACGAGGAATGCGAGTGGAAGGCAGATGAGGACGAAGAGCTGACAGTAAGTAAGCAGGTACAGACTACAGAGAGACTGCATGCTTTCTATCTGAAGACATTCAGCAGCCATTAAAAAAAAAAAAAAAAAAAAATCGACCGTTTTTCTTTCTCCGCCGTTTTTTGTCGGTCTGAGAACCGAGAGCCATTAAGTGTACGGCCTTTCTAAAAGAGGAAATATTTCCCCCTCCAGGACGAGATGAAAGACAAGGTCAAGTTGGAGGAGGAGAAGAAGGACGAGGAGAAGGAAGACCCCAAAGGCATCCCAGAGTTCTGGCTAACGGTGTTCAAAAACGTGGACCTGCTCAGCGACATGCTGCAGGTAGGCTGAGAAACTGGGTCACGCGGCGGTTTGCTTCCATCTGCTCCCACCTGCTGGTCGGACTTTGCGCAGACAGCTTTCCAAGAGTACCTGAGTCGCTTTTTTTGTTTGTTTTTTAACGGAACCGTTTCCTTTTCCCTCCTCAGGAACACGACGAGCCCATTCTTAAACATTTACAAGACATCAAAGTAAAATTCTCAGACCCAGGACAGCCCATGGTGAGTTGATTTCCACACCCTGAAGCAGTGTTTGTAGCTTTTTGCGATGCCCTCTAACCGCGTGCTCTCTCCTTGTCCAGAGTTTCTCATTAGAATTCCACTTTGAGCCCAATGAGTTCTTTACGAATACAGTGTTGACAAAGACGTACAAGATGAGGTCAGAACCCGACGAGAGCGACCCGTTCTCCTTCGACGGCCCAGAGATCATGTCCTGTACGGGGTGAGAGCCGCGGCCGCCTGGTGTCGCCTTCAGGGACTAACGTGTCCTCAATTCCGGCCGGGAAAGGTCTCGATTTTCTAACGGGGGTTTCGCCTGCGTTTGCCCCCCCCCCACAGCTGCCCGATCGAATGGACGAAGGGCAAGAACGTCACGTTGAAAACCATCAAGAAGAAGCAGAAGCACAAGGGCCGCGGCACGGTGAGGACCGTCACCAAAACGGTGCCCAACGACTCCTTCTTCAACTTCTTCACCCCACCAGAAGGTAACCTGCCTGGATCAGTCTCTCAGCAGTCTGTGTGTGCAGTTGTTTTCTTCTCAACATTCTCTGGGATAACACGCTCCATCTCTTTTTGTTTTTTTTGTTTACAGTACCAGAAAGCGGAGAGCTGGTAAGTCATTGATCTTCCCTTGGCCATTTCGTCTGCCTGTTTATACTGACATGTAATTATTGTGTTGTAAGTCCTTTTGAATGGGGTTTCATGTTTTCACACATTGAGTTTTTCACTTCTCAAGAAAAAAAGTTTACAAAACGAAAATAATCACAATTTTTGATAAAGCCGTCAGATTCCCTCTGCTGTGTCACAAATTTTTCTCTGAGAGAAGGAACTGCACCTTGAATGCCACATTCATGTTACTGTTTGGCAAGATTTAGAACTGAGCCCCAGTAAAAACTGCTCTGGGTTGGGGGTTTTTTGTTTTCCAATCCAGCCGACTTCACGGCAGAAGGGACTGATGACTGAAGGCCCAGCCTGTCAGTCTCTTAGAAATTGTAGCAACCACAACTAGACCTGTGGATTTAGTCTCGGTGCTCATGTTTAAGATGGATGTAGTTCTTTAAAGTGAAGTAAATGCATGCACTAGATTATTTTTTTGTTTTTTTCTCCTGCACTTATAGATGGGATGTTCCTACTTTTTTAGTCGCATTACAAAGAATGATGCAAAAGTTTTAGAAACATGTAAAGATCCCTTTTATTGTCGGGGTGCTGTCCAGCCACCAGACCAGCAGTATGAATATAAAGCGGACCCGGTCTTCTTTCAGGATGAGGACTCCGAGGCAGTTCTGGCCGCAGACTTCGAGATCGGCCACTTCATCCGCGAGCGCATCGTCCCCCGGGCGGTGCTGTACTTCACAGGGGAGGCCATAGAGGATGATGACGACGACGTGAGTGTCCCAGGCCAACTTTGACCCCTTTTTCTTTTTCTTTTCGTTGTCGATCGGCAGTAAATTTAACTTCCTTTCTTTTTTCTTTCTTTTTAAATCCCAGTACGATGAAGAAGGGGAGGAGGCAGATGACGAGGTAAACCTTCAGAGCTGCGCGCCTCGGGGCTCTGCGGGAAAAGTTCCGTGTGGAGGGAAGCCAGCGGACTGAAACTCAAATGTCTGGGTTTTTTTGTTTTTTTATTAGGAAGGCGAGGAGGAGGCTGATGAGGAGAACGACCCCGACTATGATCCCAAGGTGAGATGACGCACACACCCCTCCCACTTATCTCTGATGTCCTAAAAGACTTTGCTCAGCACTTCTCAACTCTGTTGGCTCAGGACCTGTCCGAGGCCACGGATAACTTATCTCAGAACCTTTTCCATTTCGGGAGTCCCTCTTTTCTTTTCTAACAGCGATAGCCCCCTCCTCCCTATTTATTTCTTATCCTGAGTGTCCTGAGCAGCAGATTGAGAACAGCTGTCTTTAAAACTTGTCAGATCTCAACATACAGAATACATAGTGTCAAATGCATCTCATTTAACAGAGCTTTTGATTTGCATCCGCTTCTCTCAGATTAATCTTCCAGCGCAAACAAACAAATCCAGTTAATTTCTCCCCTCCACTGCTGTATTTTCTTTTCTTTTTTTCTTTTTAACATCCACCAATCCATTCAGAGCCGCATGTTGGTGTGAAAAACCCTTAACCCCCCTAATTTAAACCCAAGAGGAGACAACCCAGTTTAGTTACAGACTTTCAGGATGATTGAATTTGTGCGTGCAAATCTTTGGTTTCGTTTTCAGGCATTTCTAATCTGGTCACCGCATTCCTTAGTTAAGTGTAAGGGGTAAACGCCCCAAAGTTTTGCACAAAAAAAAACGATGGTGAGGTGTTATTACAGAAATGTATACAGGTCAGTCTATTGTCGGAATGTACATTGATATTCAAGCTTCAGACGAGTCCTTCTCCCCCTTTTTGATAATTAGTGTGACAACAGAGGGGTAAATAGTTGCTTTTTACAAAATTCCTCACCCATTGTGAGGTCCAAGCTGGCTGAGGTTTAACTTAATCCTACAGAGCCAAACAAATGACAGGTTCTCCACTGTCAGGCCTTTTTTTCTTTTTTTTCAAACTCAGATTTTCTCCCTTGTGACAAAAGACGTGTCCCTGAAACGGAGCTCACTGGAAAAACACTTGAAGCTCCAGTGGGAGCTTTTGGGGTTTTATTTAAGATCAGCACTATTTAAACAGGCTGGACTTGCGCGTCTTCTTTGCTCAGCATTAAGGTCTTTGGCATTCTGTATTCTGCTATATATTTTTTTCTTTCTTTTTTCTCCTGTTCATGAATGTTTCTTCATCTCCAGCCACTTTTTTGCATCCTTTGTCAGCTACTCTTTAAATTTTTCCTCACTAGGTTTAAGTGGTGACTGTAGAAAAATAACCCTATCCTGGTAGGTACAGTTTGTGAATCGTCAGCTTACTACCACCCCCCCCCCCACCTCACCCATAGCCCCTTTGGTTTTTTTGGCTTTGGCTTCTCCTGTTTCATGTTTTCCATCCACCGTCGTTTAATGCACCCCCGCCTCCTCCTCCTGCCGCCGTCCTGCATTCTCCTAAATCACTAACCCCTGGTTGGTTTGTTTTGTTTCTTTTTTGGGTTGTTTTAATTTTTCTTCCTAAAAGTTTAACCTGTAATGAGATCAGCATTTGCACTTGTATTGTTTCTGTATATTGAAGCTCGTCCAGCCCTGCCTTGTTCATGTTTTATTCATTTATTAGCTTTGTATTTTATTTATTTTTTGTTTCCATTTCAAAACTCGTCAGTTTGGTCAGGGTGAAGATTTGTCCATCACGAACGTCTGCTTTCTCAGTCTGTGTGTGTATGTGTGAAACCCCGTTTTCCATGCCATTGCTCCGTTTCCTGGTGATCTCAGAGTTTTCCGTTGAGCCCCGTTCCTTCCCTGTAGATCTGTGTTTAAGGCTAGCTCAGAACCTTTTGAGGGCAACTCCGCCAAACGCCGACGTTGATCCTCAAACGAGAGATCTGAACAGATCCGAAATGAAATGTGCGTCCGTGGGGATGCCATCAGATTTAAACATGTTTACACGCGCAAGCCGGCTTTGATCGGGGGCTGAGGCGGTCGCACACAAATTTGCTTTTGTTCTCAAGTTGGCAAGAGCAAAGTTTGTTCTGGCTCTTACATTTTCTATTTTACCAGAATTTTGGCTCTCGAACTCCTCGAAAGTCCCACTTTGTAGAATTGCCAGAAATGTTGAATGACCCCCCCCCCCTCGGCAAGCCCATTTATTGCAGATTAAATATGCTTCTCTTCACTTTTTTCACCCAATTCTTAAAAAAAATGTTTGCTTTACAACCAGTTGCCATCATAACTTTAGAGAAACTCCCCATGTTTGACAAATGAACTTTACCTTAACGTTCAGACACAGCCACAGGGCGTCAGTCCAATACAGATATTTACTTAAATATAATTTATGACAATTTTATAAGTTTGAAGTCGGTACATCTTTCTAAAATGAAAAGCAATTACCAGCTCTTTAAGTCACTAGACTTTCTCCTGTCCATGTGGGCCCTAAAGTCCAAATATATCCAAATTGTCCTTCAATTTAAATGTTAGGATAAGCAGAACTAAAGATACACTGGCAAGCTCTATATATTCAACCCAGTCTTACTGGCGAAAAGCCAGTTGAAATTCTGGTTTAGAGTTCCAGGGCTCTGAGTCGGTCTTGCGTAAACGTGTTTTCAGGCTGATGCATACTTCGCAAGGAGAGAATTTGTTCATTTCTGGAGGTGCGACGGACAAAGGTCTAACCCCAGTTTGGGCCATTTCATTCTTAACGAGAAGCGCTTAACCCTCCGGGGAGTTTTATTCACTCGGATTTAAACTGAATAAAAACGATCTGCGCACACGTTTTCCGATTTCCCCAAAGTCTACCCAGTGCATTTCTACCAATGATGCACAGCTCTCGATTTGGTCATCTGTCGGATCAAAAGAGCAACACCCTCTGTTAGGATGTGGAACTTCCTTCTCATTCCCCCTGATTTTAGTTTTAACCGGTTGGCTTTTTCTTGCAGAAGGACGCGGCTCCCCCAGCTGAGTGCAAGCAACAGTGAGGTGTCGCCGGGTTGCCGTGAGGATCAACTGCACTGTAACAGCTTATTAAATTAAAAAGTGGAAAAAAGAAGAAAAAAAAAACGGGGCAAAAAAAATGACAAAAGCAATTACAAAAAACACAAATTGAAGATAGTTACTTATCGCCTTATAATGTTTTGTATTTTTCTTGGTAGGGAATTTAAAGAAAAAAGGTTTCAAACTTTTTGTTACGAAAACTCATGGTAATACACCGGGAGCTGTTTGGCTCGATTATACATAGTATTTTACTAGACCTGTTTTCTCCTTCTTTTCCTCCTCCTCTGTACAATAGACAATAAGAAAAAACTCAATCTTTCTCAGAAAGCATGACTTTGTTTCTTCACTGCTAAACTAGTTTGGGTTCTTGTGATCCCCGACATTTTCCTTTTTTTCTTTTCTTTTTTTTTCTTCCGTTGTATTTACTCCTAGACAACAGCTGTGATTTCTGACAAAGTAGTGGCTTCAGTACACACGCCCCTCCTTCATCCTACCAAAGTTCCCCGTTGGTCAGGTTGTTTTTGTTTATCGGTAGTTAATTTCTCCTTTTTTTTTTTTTTTTTCTTTTTTTTTTTAAAGTGGGGCCTTCAGCACTTGAAGAAGCACTGTAGCATTCCCAACATTCTAGAAGTAGGACCAGAGGGGTGAGCTTGCGGCTGCAGTGTCCATTCCGGTTGAGTCCTCCTTAGGTTGTGGTCCACAGATACCCCCCCAAAAAAAAAAAATCCTGCTCCACACACGCTCACCGCTTTCCACTTGAAACATTCCAGTAAGCGGGCAGCAAGGGGAAAAACGCAGTATGGATGCTTTTAAAACAAAGCCACCGACCCACCCACTACTCTTCCCCGGGGGGGGAGTAAAATAGGACATTGGGGAAAGAATCCTTGTCGATGAGGAGGCGGGTAGGAGAGCTCGGCGGAGACCAAAACCAGACCCCCCCATAACCTCGTGTTTCAGCCTCGCCGTTGTGGTGCGTGTTTCACTTTGTGCTCGTCTGTGGCGTGCCAGTGGCGTCCCGTCATCCGTTAGCCGAGTTTTCCTCGGAAGCAAAGTGGAGAGTTAGCGGGGTAAAAGTTTGTGTGCACAAAAGCACACGTGGCTCCAGTCCCACAGTTCCTGCCGGTGGGGTGACTTTCAGACCTCATCTTAGCCCTTTTGAAATAATTATATATGTTTATTTTAATATCACTGTGAAAGCAAAGGGGGAAGTGTGATAAGGCCATTTTTTTTTTTTCTTTTGTTTATTTATTTTTTTATTTTTTATTTTTTTTTGGGCCAATGACCCACAACCTTCCCCGGCTCAGCCCGCTTCCTTCATTACCCAGAAGGCCACAGAAAAGCACGTTTAGAGCAATACTTAAAGTAGTGGGGGGGCACTAGGAAGCAAACCTAGTCTTCCCTCCAAACCATTGCTTCTTGCCATTATTATTTTTCTCCCCCTCCTCTTTTTGATGCCACAACAGCCGCGTGCTGTTTGTGTCGGGCAGCCTAAAGTCTGCTGTGGAAAGCCAGGGTACCTCTGATTCTGCAGGGAGTAATCAGATTCAGAACATGTTCATCGGGGGGGGGGGGGGGGGGAAAAAAAAGGACAGGACAGGATTTCCGTACGGTCCTCCTGAGCAGCTGTTGTCAAGGCAAAATGCTATGCTACAAAAATACTAATGTACTCAATAACTGTACGTGTATGTTCATGAATAAACTGGTTAAACATGCCTACGGTTGGGTTTTTCTTGCGCCGCTCACAAATCTGTGGTTAAGTTTCTCTAGTTAGACCCACAGGCTGAATATAAAGTATACATGTTGTGGTCAATACGTGTGTATCTGTGTAGTGTGTGTGTATATGTATATACAGTGGGGGAAATTTTTGCAGGTTTGCCCACTTACAAAGAATGCTTATTTTTCCACATCAGATGGTTAGCAATTTTTATAAATTCATGTGATTTTCTGGAATTTCCTTTGGGATTCTGTCTTTCACTGTTAGAATGTACATATGATTAAAGTTATAGATCGTTGCATTCTTTGTAAGTGGGCAAACCTGCAAAATCAGCAAGGGGTCAAATACTTATTTCCCCCACTGTGTGTGTATATATTATTACAAAAAACATTGTCTGTTTCGACATAAAATCAACAATAAAGAAAGAAAAACACGTTTTAAGAAAATATACATTCTCCAAACAGCAGGGGGCGCTGCAATGCAACTGTTGATGGTGCGATTGTTGTCTTAATTGAAATAAAACCTGATCACATTAAGCTCGAAAACCTGCCAAAGGAACATTTAAACACGGCTGTTTAGAGGCTGAACAATGTGAAAACTACCATCAAACAAACGATAACACAAAAGGGTTAGACGACATGCTTACATGGCGGAAGAATTCCCACTAAACCACCTTAAATTGTCTGGCGAGGAAATAGTTGACCACGTTTTAACCAAAACCCTTTCTTTCTTCTTCCAGACTCGCTAAGCAATGTGTATCAATACTGCATTGATCGGTTAATCGTGTCTAAAATACTAATTATCTAAAAGGGAAAGTCCAGTTTTAAATACCCATTCATGGAGAAAGCATTTAATATAAACTGCGCATGTTTTTTGGGCTTGAGCGTGTTTGTAAGAACTCATAAAACACATCGGAAATAATGGTGTTACTATCAAAATCCTGCAGTTGTCTTTATATCAGAAGGCTGGATGCTGTACAAAAGGGGGCGGCGCACCTCTCCCACACACCCCCTCTCTCTCTCACACACACACACACACCCCACTACAAACACCCTCCACACACGGTGTGACCAGCGGCCAGACGGGCAGCGAGCCGCCTCCCGGCACCTTCAACGACGGGATAGCCATCATCCATCCATCTGAACCCCCACCAGGAGGTGTGCGGATGTGTGTGTGTGTGTGAGAGCGCATCATCATGCTGGAGAACGGGCGCAAGGTGTTCAAAGAGGGTCTGCTGGAGAAGCGCAGCGACGGGCTGCTGCAGCTGTGGAAGAAGAAGCTCTGCGTCCTGACGGAGGACGGCGTGCTCCTGATGCCGCCCAAGCAGCACGACCACCCGCAGCAGCACCTCCATCACCACCCCCACCACCACCAGCACCATCAGCACCCCGCCGGAGGAGGTGGTGGAGGAGGTGGAGGAGACCCGGGCAAAGTCAAGGAGCTGCACTTCGCCAACATGAAGACGGTGGACTGCGTGGAGCGCAAGGGCAAGTACGTCTACTTCACCGTGGTCATGGCCGAGGGCAGGGAGATCGACTTCAGGTGCCCGCAGGACGAGGGCTGGAACGCGGAGATCACCCTGCGCATGGTCCAGTACAAGAACCGCCAGGCCATCCTGGCGGTCAAGTCCACGCGGCAGAAGCAGCAGCTGCTGGTGGTGCAGCAGCAGCTGCCCGGACAGACGAAGACTGTCCGCAGCGCGCCCAGCGTCGCGTGACCCCCCCCTCGGTTATATTGACCGGTTCCATCTGGGGTAAGGCATCAGCAGCAGAAAGCGAGAAACCAGGGGGTGGGTGGGGGTGGGGGGGTCCCCAGGTCCCGGGACCACCTTGGAACCCCCCCCCCCACTGCAGGTTAAAGACACCCCCCACTTCACCTTTTTTTCCCCCATTTCCTGGATATTTGTTTGTTTTTTAGGAGTGAGGACGTTTGGTTTCACCGTAGCCCACACTGTGATCAGTGCTCTTCTTCCAGGAGACCAAATCATACACACTGTGGATTTAAAAAAATAGATATATTTGGCGTAACAAAGTTTTGTTGGAGCGCCTGCCTCCCTGGCAGGATTGCATTTTCATTCAATCACAAGGAGGCAAAAGAATCGGGAAAATAATCGCTGGACTCACAATTGGCAGGTTTCAAAATGCCCCTCACCACCAACACATGTGCGCTATACGCCCAGATATGTCCACTGAATGGATGCATCACCCCTTTTGAGTATAAAAAAAACAAACTCGGGTATGAAAATGAGCGTAAATATTTCTGGATCGGAAGATAAATTGAGCGTGTCGCTACAGATTTCCAAATCGTGCGTAAAGACGCACGCAATTTGCGTAAGTAGGAAAAGGCGTGCGGAGAAATCCCTTCATATGTTCGCGGGCATTGGTTGTTTTTTTTCTAAATTCTGCTCCGTGATCTCTGTGCTGCAGACACCGCATGGCTAAATTAATCAAGCCGGGTCTGTGTGTGTGTGTGAGAGTGTGTGTGCAGTCCGCCCAAAGCGACTGAAGCTGCAGTCTAATCACGGTGACTGAAGCTATGTTTGGAGAAAAGCGATGCTCCAAGTGTCAGATTGCCACGCACGTGACTCCCTGTGGCTGATCACGACTTAGAAAGTTTGTGTTAAAAAAGAAATTACACGAATAAATTGAAAAAACAAACAAAAAGGAAAAAAAAGTTACGTTCGGCGATTTTCTTTATGGCCATAAATAAATATCTTAGATCCTTGATATCGTGGAAATTACACTCCTTAAGTGCCCTGCTCGCCCTTTTTCAGAGCCAGCTAAATGGTTTGTTTCCACCCAAACTACTTTGTCAGTCTGGATAATAGTAGGGATTTGTCTTTAAATCCCAGAAGCTTTCTTTTTATAGATTATTATTCCATGTATTTAAAAAAAACAACTCAAAATTAATTCTGGAAACCATTTACAGAAAGTTGTCTGGATATGTTGCTCATTTTTCACCCAATCCCCCAAATGTGAGACTCCAGCCAGCAAAAGCTAAAACAAATGTTTAAAAAAGGGACGGAATTCTCACCTGAAATGCCAATTCTCAACATTCTATATATTTTCCCTCAAAATGAAGTGTATCAAGGGATTCATTTGGGCTGATATTGATTATAGTAGCATAGACTTCATCTCTTGGCTAACTTAGATGTATTTTGCATCCTCTGTCAGCCACAATCTCTGCAGTCTGTCTAACCGATTGCATCCACAGGTGAATTGGACACTCATCTGAGGAAGTATACCCAGGCTTCATCTCCCATTGCTGCTTCCCTCACAAAGCTCCGTTCACTTAGGAGAGCCCCTCTGCCACGTTGTGGGTTCCGCACACCAGCGCCCGGTTTTCCACACAAAGACTTGCTTCACAAAAGACTGATGGACTAAAAGCATGTGAAAAAACCAGAAGTGTTCTATCGTGCATTGGCTTTCATCCCTTATTTATTGGTCGTGTATATATTTTTTCTATGAAAGTGTTCTGTTGTCGAAGAATGTTCAGTGTGACTGTTGCTGGAATGGAACAGGAAGTACTTGGTCCGAGGTTCTTAGCCAACAAGTCTTGTGGAAATAAATCACATGTCTGGTTGCTGCATATTAATCCAAACCAGTTTATTATTGATAGAATGTGTCTTTGCTCATGATTTTTTTTTTTAACCGAACCAAAGACTGAATTATTTTTTCTTGTGCAGTGTTTCACCTCAATTCACAAAAAATCTCATGATACATTATAAGATCAGATGCCAACTCTAGTACAGTTTTGTATAATGTTCCTGTTAATGTATACAAACCTTTTGCCTCAATTTATTTAGCTGCATTTGTAAATCCAGCTTACCCTCCCCCATAGAACCTTTGACATAAAAAATAACATCAAGAATGGATTATATGTTGTGTTACACTAATAGTTTTCAGACACCAAACTGTTTTAAGGACATTGTACGCTGGTTGCATTGCACTTTTGTACTAATGTCAGCCCAAAAACGCAATGTAAAAGCCCAATGGAAGAACAAGCATGAAAGGAAGTAAAATAGATCGATGTGTTCACATTTACGGAAACTGATTGTGTTTTATGAAAGCATGCCAGACTTCAAAACGGGAAATGTTATCAGTGCTTATTAACTGAGGTGGAGAGTGGCTGTATTTGAAAGATTATCCATGTAGCACTTGGGCTAGGCGGCGAGAATGCTAACTGAATCTCTGTGTGTTAACATGAATTTGTTGTAACCAAACAAGCATGTTTGTCTGTGGTGCGAGAAGTTGTCTGAGTATTTAAAACGTGGGCTTTTTCAGATGTTTCGGTTAATCGCAGCCGAGACCTACTGGAGCTACCAGCCAATAGCGAATTCCTAGCTAGCTAGCTAGCATTTAGCTCCCAAGCTATAAGGTGACCACTGCTTTAAGCTACAGCACCCTCTTGCATCCAATGGTCTTCAGGAAAATGGGACACCGTATTGCAAGACAGCACACTATTAGCATTTTCTTAGAAGGAGTTTGCAGAAATATTTTCCTTTTTCTGTTTTTAGTGGTAATTATTTTGTTTTTCAAAGCTAAAAGTCTTAATGGTTGCTCAAAAATTGATTCTGAATGCAGTGAAAGTCATTCACAGATCATTTGCTCGGATTAATTTGTAATCCTAGAAAAACCAATGTGATTAATATCTATTACATATTCAAAGACTAAATTGTTTTTTAATGAGAAAGTGAAAGACTCAGTAACACGTTGGAGCATTTCAGTGAAGCAAGCTACAGTCTCAGGTGTTTCTAATGGAAAAGGCTTGGGTTGCATTAGGAGATATTTTATCTCGCTGTGGCTAATGTTGTTTCCTGTTTCCAGGGAGTGTCTCACTGCTCACCAGTGTATCACCGTCGAACCGACACATGCCTCTGTGTTGCTGTCATTCTCCACACAGGGCCATCGCCGTGCCCTTTATCCAATGTGGCCGATGTGATGCCACTCTGACATGCCTTCCTGTTTTTGTCATTTTTCTCACACAGTCCCAGCAGAGCCCTCTGTGGCCACTGGCCAGTTTTCTTATGTCAGCGTGAGATCTATTTTCATACCTCAAAATGAAACATTCCATTAAAAAAAAGTCAGACGAAAGTCGTTCCTGCCGTCTCGTGTGTTTTTTTCTAACGCAGAAGGTGCACATCGGGGGGTTCAGCGGGGTCATTTTAAGTGACATGTTAAAGTGGCCGCCTCTCAGCCGGTCTCCAGGCTTTTATTGCTTTATAGCCGCTGAACCTCTCACCCCATGTTTCCTGGTCTAAATCTAGAAGCCGCAGAGGGAGTTGCGTTTCACTGCCAGTTGTTGTCACCCAGATAAAACCGCCAGTGTGCAATGTTAAACCTCCACCTGGCTACGTCCATGTTGTCTAATGCCCCGCTAATTCAATTAAACTCCTGGCGCACGGCGGCACCTATCAGACTAAAACATGGAACAATCATACGCATTTGACATTACCTTTGCTGCGTTATTGTTTCCAGCTCCTCAGGAAAGTTCTAGTACAAAAGTAGAATGCCTTGCAGAAAGCCTTTCGTCCATGTTGGTTTCAGACGGTTGGTGGAGGTCTTATAAAGTCAAAACTGGATGAAACCAAAATGGACCATTCTACCTCAACTGTAGAGCCTTTTAATGTGTTTTGTGTAAGCATTAAAGCATGAAAGCATATGACAGAAGATTAGAAAATGTGCAGTTTTAAAGTGAGCCAATGATGAACAGGTCCAAAGCAGGCCAATGTCTATTTTTCTTTAGCATGAATACCCTTAAGTCCGCTGACTTGAATGGGTGTTTCTTCTGTAGAGCCTTAATTTGGTCTTTAGTTGTTTGAAGATTTATCTCTTCAGAATATGACAGTAGGACACTTTCAAATGAGGCTATCTGGCTAATTTAGGATTACGGTGACTCTTAAAGATTTGGGATGATATTTTCATATGTGTTTCCAACGATGCTGTGTATACATTTTGAATAGGATTAATATTCAAATGTGAAAACCTTGCTGGATTTGATGCACCTTTTATCTAGTGCCCATCTCTGAAAAATAGCCCATTGTCTCCTTTTTGCATAAATGAAATAAATTAATTCAGAATTGCTACGATGCTTATTCTAATAAACATTTGGACACAAGGGAAAAATCATGTATAATCAAACATTTGAAAAATATTTGGTATTTTTTTCTTAATCATCAAGTTCTTTAGATATTTCCCTACAAAACGGTCACAAGATTAAAAAGAAGACTATCAAGTTACTCTCTCCCTCAAGATGTCTTGTTGAACTAGCCGCAGCAGCTGCTCTTCAAACACACTTAAAAGGCCACCGCTGCTTCTTGGACTGCAAGACAACTCCCAAGTCATGTCTCACCCTCTCCAACCGTCTTTGATGTGGAGGAAGTTGTTGGGACTTGTGACAGCAGGCGCAAGTGGCTGTGAGTGATTTAAGAAGTACAAATCCAAAATTTCTTTTTTGGACTCTCACCACCTTGCCTCGTAACATTAACAACTCAAACCTGTTGATAAGTAGGGAAAAATGCAATGTGTGTAGCTGAAGTTTGCACGTAACCTGGTTTTTCAAAGGTGATTAATATAGAAATTAAGTCCAATCTAGCATTTAAGAAACAGTAGAACCGACCTGAATTTTATTGAATGTGCATGTGGATGTATCTACACAGTTGTCAAGGAAAATTATCAGACAATGGAGTACTTTGGTTGACCAACAGCAGCTTTAATA